TAAAGAAGTACATCCAGCATATCGACGAAGTGCACCAAAAACTTCAACGGCTGTACATCATATTGCTCTACAGAAAGGGATTTAATCTTTTCCCATAATAACGCGCAGTTACACATCGCATTACCGACGCTAGAGAGGTTGAACGAGTGGGATTACGTAACCCCATCCTATTCACCAAACTCTCCAAAACCTCTCGCGTATTGGCTGCTATTTCCTGGAAGTAATTTTCTGTGTAAAAAATGCTTCAGAAACCAAGCCGAGGCCGAAACTAACTTCAATGACTTTATCGCATTTAGAAGTCGAAAATTTTCTGCAACAACAAATTGTAAATGAACTAATTTCTTTATGGCAAAATGTAAAGATTCTGGCGGTTGTAATCCGATTAATAAAATATATTCTGAGCTGAAATATTCCACTTTAAAAATAAAAGTTGAAATCCAACACTAATTTCCCGAAAACTTAATACTTCAAAAGCTTACACAATTATCCCTGAGATGCCTCGGATTTTCCCAAACTTCTTTTTAAAATTTTCTGAATATCGTTTAAGTGGAACATTCCATTCATTCCACTGCATCAACTAACTGCCACATAAAATTTACCGTTTCGACAGCTTTTTTTAGGTAATGAGTCGTTGCAAGATGGAGTTGAAACGGTCGCACAGGCTGTGCTTGATGCTATTATAAACGAGATTGAGGATGGTCTAGAAATTTCGTTGAAGAAAAATACAGATGACACTGGAAATGAGGAAGAACGCATTGAAAATCGAACGACAGATTTTACGGAGTCAACCTCAATGTGTATAGACGATGTTCATGCTAGTGACGAAGCAAGCTGTGGTAACAAGAACGGCGATGTGGTTCAAAATGAGAATGCTGTGCCCACGTTAACACCATTAAATGATGAGATGGTTGAGAATCTAATGCCTGTTAGCACAAATTCCTTTCCAGTTATAACCATGATGCAGAAACCAGTAATTGCTCTCCATTCTGAGGAACAACTTGGTATCGAGAAAAATCGTATTACTCAGAAGGACAAAATTAAATTTGATGATAGTGAGAAATCGGAAAAAGTTGTGCGAACGGTAGACGAAGTTGGAAGTGTTGACTGTGAAACTGTCTTACCGAAAAGTTCGCCAATATTAACGGTCATTGAAGCGAAGAACTCAAAATCCACTGTAGACAACATGGAGGCGATTGGAGGTACTGTGCCTGGTACCGTGAATGGCGATGAAATTGTTCAGATGTGTGAAGAAGAAGTGGCAGATGCTTCTGGCCAATACCAACAATCACGGTTGGTTTTCTGACGTTACGAACATTAGGAATAACTTGCAAATATTTTATACGGGTTTCACTTCTGTTCGAAGTAGTTTGTGGAATTTATAATTTTTTGGCAATTCTAAAAGTGGTTTAGAAAGGCGCGTGTGGCGCAGTGGTCGGAGGCGCCCTGCAACACACGTGGAATCGATTCCCGCGCCCATGGTTCACCAAGCCTTCCATCCCTCCGGGGTCGGCAAATTGGGGTACCAGATTTGTCTAGGAGGATAGCAGCACTGGCTCAATACATCGGTAGGCCACCACGAGTCATTGTAAAGCCTAGACATACATTCAGTCACCTCCGAACAATGCTTAGTAAAGTCGAATGTATGGCGCATCCCACAGAGATTGATCATAGAGCTTTATCCTGTATACTTTTATCCAACAGTGATTTATGGTTTGTCGCAGGAAATTTATTCACAACGGTAGGGTGAAGAAATTGGTCGTAAGAGTAGCGCATCTCAATGAATGCTTGCACTCAGTTAAAGTGGTAATTCAGAACCATGTGTATGGAGTGCAGGTTTTCATTCAGTCACCAAGTTGTAAGCGAAATGGAGTGGAAAATACTGTTATATTATTTGTTATTACGATACTATTATTAATTATGATGAGGGAGTAGCGCAGTGGTTAGCAATGTGGTTCATCAGAAGCTGGTTCGACCCTCTCGCCAGCCCTGTCTTCCCATCCACGTGGGAACGCCTTACACCAGCTGTCTACAAGGTTGCAAGGGGAAACGACTCGACCAGCACTTTATGACACTCATGAAAGAACACGCGATGGATTCGAAGATCTTTGTGGACGATGAACACGATGAAAACGAATACAATGCAAAAACTGCTGGGATCAACACAACAGGTGTGATTGCGGATCATATTTCGGAACCGACTTTCCTTTAACCTCGGTATTACTAATCAACATGTATTTTTTCCTTAATAGACTTACACGAGGTTGATAAACAATTTTATTCGGCTAACGTTTAAAAGTCATCGTCATCACCAGAATCGACGATCCAAGTCGATAGTTCACGGTTGTTCTTGGTCTCGATTCGGCGTCTTCGTCTTCTTATCGAGTTGTGTCTTCCTCAGCGGGCCATCTATCGAATGAGGCATACTCACTTGGTGATGTCCGTTTATGCAGGATGCTGATGGTTGATAGTTGTGATTATCCAGTGATAGTAACTTGTTTTCCCGGACAATCTATCCTGCAGAAGCCGGTATCATAATCAACTAGCAAAGAGTAGTAACAATGTTTCAAAACCGACTTTCCTTTAACCTCGGTATTACTAGTCAACATGTATTGTTTCTCTGATGAGCTAAACGGGAAAAACAAGTTTCAATCACTGGACATTCACATCAGTCAACCATCAGCATCCTGTATAAAAGGGAATCATTGAGTGGGTACGCTTCATTCAAGAGATGGTCCGCTGGGAAAGACACAACTCGATATGAAGGCGAAGACGCTGCATCGAGACGAAGAAGAACTGTGGACTATCGGCTCGGATTGTCGGCTTTGATGAAAAGGAAAACGTCGAAGCGTTGGCCGAATAAAATTTTTTATCAACCTCGTGTAACGTTGTTGAAGAAAGAATACATTACCGATCATTGTAAAAGTGTAGAAAAAATTGCAATGGTTATGTTCGACTAGTGACCTAATCTTGTATAAGCGGTCCTATCCATCCACTGTGTTGTCGAGAAAATGTATGAACACCTTTCAAATGTTCCTCCAGGATGACATTCAGGTTTAATAATCCGTGAATTGCGATAGTTTGATGTCTCCCATCTTAAAACCGAGACGGGCTAATCTTTTCATTCTTCAATACTTTTGATTCCCACTATACATCTTTCTGGGATCCGTATCTTCTGTTCTCGTTCACACTAAGCCATCAAATATTGGCAACAAATTGTTTACAGAAATCAGCACCGAATAGGAAATTTTCGAGATTAACTATAATGGGAAGTCCAGTGATTGCGAGGCGTTACATTGTTGAGCCACTCATTGCCTTCTCCATCGTAGTTATCATCAACACCACCACACTCATCCTCAGTTCGTTTCCTTCAGTTTCTTTGACGTGCGAAAGAGATTCTCTGTTGTCCTCTGAACCTAGAAGTTCTTCATCGCTTTCGGTGAGCAACCGATTGATTTTCAATCCTTTCTCTACTGATATGATACAATTTATAGTGGTTAGGCTAATACACCACAAATATATCAGTTGCCAGTGGAAAATAGGTTTTCAAGCTAGTTCTTGGTATCTAATAATCACTAACGAATTTGCCTTATGGGACTTTCTTGACGTTGCCATAGAGCAGTATGTCAAACTTAAATAATCGAACCGTGTGTAGGAATAATAACGCTATTCCAACATTACATGTGGCACAATGGTCAGGGGCGCTCTGCAATACGCATGGAATTGATCACCAAACCCCAGGCTCACCATGCCTTCCATCTCTCCTGGTTCGGTAAGTTGGTACCAGACTTGTCAGGGAAGATAGCAGCACTCACTTGATACATCGGTTGGCCACCACGAGTCATTGAAAGGGCCAGATATGCACTTCATCGCCTCTAACTGTGTTAAGTGAAGTCGAATGCATGGCACATGTCTAAGAGATAGATTGAGACCGAGGGCTCTATCTCTTTATCCTTTTGAAAACTGGTTCATAAGAGGATGCTTCGAAGTGAGATGGTAGCCTACCATACGCTTTTGATGTTTTTTGTATGTGTAATGTGGAGTACATCAATAATTGTACAAGAGGTAAGCGCATCAAAGAACTCATGTTTGTCGTAATAGCCATGACCTATAATCAAATGCTGTGGGATTACACACTACATGTAATCTTGTGACAACGTTCCGATGAGGTTAACATATATTAAGGGTACACGTGAGCTTATGATAACATTGCGGTAAAGATAACATATTAAGGAGTACATATGGGTTTGTAGTAACGTCAGTTCATAGTGGCCGCACAATTGTGTCAATGTGTTGTTAAAAACTGAACGACAGTAGAATGAGTCACAGTGAATGTAGTGATTAATTGACATAATTTCGATGGAAACATACGGCGATGTGAAACAATAGGAACTATTTGGCGTGTAATTGCTATACAGTTCCATAGAATCCAGTTGTTCGCCAGTAAAGGCAGTAAATGAAAATTGATGTTATATATACATAGTTTATTATCCCGGTTTAGTGAGTATGTGGAGAGTGCTCGAGGAGACATTTCGTCAAAAGAATGTGCTCCCACCGAAAGAACTGAACCGGAAGAGAATACTTGCGGGTTGGAAGCAGCCATTGAGTGTGAGACGGTGGTGCGTAAAATAATTACGTAATTTTAAACTTTCCATAAAATATGATTTTGTGAGCACTTGATGAGATTTTCTTGCAAAAGGATGTCATTGTTTTCAAGAAGCACAACCTGCCAGACGCCGAACCTTGCGATAGGTTGGACGCCCCGGTTTGCTTTTTCATTGTTATCTTTTGTGTTCTGGAGTTTAAACAAAGAAAAGGTTTTTACTTTAGGTTATAGCTACAATCCATGATCTGTCAGAAGAAGCTGACTCTATGAGGCTTACAGAAAGTGAACTTCAACTTGGGAAGGTATTTTCTATACTTCATGTTTCTGGTATTCCTCAATATTATTGAGTTTTCAGTCCAAACCGTATTGGATTCCTGACGATGATTGCGCTGTTTGTATGTTATGTAACTCGAAATTTTCATTACTGAATCGTCGTCATCATTGTCGAGCTTGCGGTCGTGTAGCATGTGGGTCGTGTTGTAAAGAACGAGCCGTTCTGCAGTATATGAAAGACGAGCCAAAAAAGGTTCATTAAATTTTGTGAAATTCTGGGTCTTTTCATGCTCGTTTTTTCTAGCAAACTCAAGCTCGCGTTTGTTCACCGTGTGCTTCTATGCTGGCTCGTATTGAGCAGTACGAAAAAACGCTAAAGGAAAGTGCTGAAAGGTCAGTTAAATGGCGGTGAAAATGCTGCTAGTACAATGAAAGTGCTATAAATGGTCAATGTACTACAGTGAAACTGTTATTGGTTGTTTAATCACATCTTTTGGAGTTGCACTTCTTTTGTCCGTATAAGAAACTCTGTGATTGGAAACTTTCTTGGATGGCCCATCCTCACTGGTTGTGTAGGTCCTAGCATAATTTCCATATTTTCGGACTTTTGCTGGTTTAGTAATTGTGGTTCCCTGGAGTCCCGAGATCAGCTCGGCCAAGGTCTGCCCCAGGTCATCACCACCACAGGCAGTCCCCGCCCTTTTGGATCAGAGGGAGATTTGCCACTGTACGACAAATTTGGTACAAGAATGGTGTTGAATCTTGGTATTAGTTCACTTTTAGTTGGGCTTCTTGATGGAAACGCTAGGCTCCTTCTCAGTTTTGAGAGTCTTGCTGTGTGGATTAACCTCAGTGTACATCGCAGCCCTACACATAGTAACACATCCCACTCATGATGAGCTTGTAAACCGTTGAGAGGAAGATGCTATATAACGTGTTCTATTTATTAGCCAAGCTTTTATGTCATTAATTCACTGTTTTATTTATTAAGAGCTTTGTGTGCTGTCTTTTGCTTTTTTTCCTCAGTGGTAATGTTTATCATGGCAAATGCTCGTTCTTGTTTTATTCATATCAGTCGTTCACCATTACTTTGCTGTTTGTATATGTTAGGCTGCCATTTCAGGAATTCTGATGATTCCTCACCGTCAACATCAGCCGGAAGCCGAGTGGCACGTGGAGTGCTGAAGACACGCACCCCAAAAGCAACAGACGTGGAGTCTGAAAGTTCACAAACTTCAGATACTGTTGAAAGGAAACGTAGTGTCGTTTTCAGGTGGTCTAGAAGCAACAACACAATATATGTGTATATATGTGTGTATATGTGTATATATAAATATACATGTGTATACATACGTGTATATATACATGTATATGTGTACGTACACACATATATGTGTATATACATATATATATATATATGCATTTGATGTGTTTTCATGTGTTTACATATGCATGCTTCACTTTAAAGAGATGGTGTGAAGCCTGGCGCAGCGACACCAGTAAATGGCGTTGAATTTGGAGCTGAAGAGAAAAATACCACTGTTAAACCGAAAAAAGTAACATTTTTTCCTGTTGGCTGCCTATTCTCTTTTCCTGTTTTTTGTGTGTTGCACTATCACGAAATAAACATGTTCTAGCTGTTCCAGAAGTCTCGTAAGCGACAGGAAGTTACCCGTCGAGTGGTTGAGCTAAGATTGGAGGACGAATTAGGGTGCGCCTTACCAACGCCTTCTAGACCAGGATTTTTGATAACCAATACTAATGGTGAAATGGATATGGTTGATGAGGAATTTATAACTACTAGCCTGAAGGAAGGACTTCCAGTCACAGTAGTGCTGAAGAAAAACCTGACATGCGTAGCTAGGATTTGTGAAGGTAGGTAAGGTCTTTTTCTTATAAAATTGCACTGTGGTGCTGTTGTATTTCTAATTTAATTATGTGTACTTATTCACTGGGAAATCCGATATCCCTACGACGGCCGCATGAGAAGTTTTGTCCTCTGAATTTCGCTGAATGCTTGTCCAGTGGATCAAGATTTTCATCTTGGGCAGTAACCAACTTTTTGGAACTGATGAATTTATCGCAGGTAAATGTGGAAGCCGTCCCTCTATCCGGAGGAATTGGTACCAGGTTTTTTTGGTACCAATTCATTGCCTTCAATTCACGTGGAAACGCCTAGTATGGGTATCGCAGGATTCCATGGAGAATCGACTGGGCCAGCATTCAACGGCATTCATAACGAAGACGCAAAAACTCCTCGAGCAGCAGGCGAACACCTCACTCTTGTGGGCCTTGTAAAATCTTTATGTCATACTTTTTTATATTGCAGTGGATTATATGAGCGTATTTTGTGTGCACTCGTGCGGATTTGCTTCTATTGGATTAGATGAAGTGCTTTTTGTTTGGGAACGGATTGATCTTACAGATTTCTCCCTGCCATTGAACGTGTTACACAGAATAGCGCAGGTTTGTGACGTTTCTCTATGCCATGGCGAGAGATCATTCAATTACATCTCTTCTTTCGCTTCAGATCTACTCGACGTCGTGCGATACTGATCAGGCCGGAGTGCGTCAGGTTTGCACCCGTCTACCGGCAATTCATTCTGTTCCTATAGCTTTACCTCCGCTTACGCGACATATCCTTTTCTTTCCCCCTACATTACAGGTATTTTTTCTAATAGTTTCCTCCATCTGCAGTACAGTATTTTCCCTCCATTTTCTACCGTTGCTTTTCTTCAGGATTTTACAAGCTTAACCATTCCAAGCTCGCCATTCCTCATTGCATTGTTTCTACACGATGCCGAATTGTCATGGGCAATGGCTTGTCCAAATCGGTTACTGTTTCGTTTAGGCCTTAAATATAGTTGTTAGTTTTTTCGCGTCATTGGCGTACGAATCTTATTGTGCAAAATTAGTGATATATTTGATTTTATCGCTTTCGGTAGAAGCATTAAAGCATGTATTTTGGGGTATCCTACACCTATTGTAAATATCGTCGGAAGAGACTCTGTGTATTCGACAGAAACATCGCAAACGGTCTTGAAAGTTAGTGACACTTCATAGAACTTTCAGAGTACTTAGAATTTAAGTTATTGATTACAGGTATTCACGGATTTCCATAGTTGGTCGTTTCGTATGAAACATCTTGTCGGTTGCACGGCAACACTTAGCAATGATGTGACCTTGGTTGAAATTCCAAAGAGCGCAAAGAACGATGTTGGTTTTTCCTTTGAAGATTAATAAAGTGTATCCTTCAAATACGCTTTAAAATCTTGTTGCTTCAAAGCTTGAAGTTTTCATTAGCATTGCGTGATTTGTTTGTTTCAAGACATTGTTTTTAAGCTGAGTGAGATCATATCCTTAAATCGAACTGTGATAGCGTGGACAACCAGTGTAAATTTATCCGCAGATAGCCATCTGGTATGTGATGAGACAGATGGGTTTTACTCTACGCAGGTATTTGCCCGAGGGTCTACTAGGCAGGGTGGGTCATTTTTGGTTTATGCACTGGACGGACTGTAAAATGAAAATGGACTTTGTATCAGTTATCTTTATCATATTCACTCGGTTGCTCTGAAGTTAGTGTCCGATTTGTAATTTTATTTCTCTTATAGTTCTTTTTATTACATGTCTCTATCATATTTACTAGGTTTCTAGGGGATTTGCAATTCTATTTTCCTTACATCCTATAGAAATACTTTTTCTTTTCGAATGGTATACTGTTGTATACCATTGAAATCCCATTTTATGTAGTTTCGCTCCACATAATTGAATTGTAACAATGTTAGTGTTCTATTTGTCGCTACTACAATTTTTGACGGTAGGGTATTTTGTGGAATGTAACGAAGATGATGCTGAGATGTTTTCAAAGTTGCGGTACCGCAGGTGTCGACAGTGGGGATAGAATACCCAATAACTCTTTTCGGGAGCTAATGCGTTCACGACCACACCATGCGAGTCTTTCGTTTCGCCTGTCTCTTAGTTTTCTATCTACTTGTGGACGGCAAATAAAAAATTAACATTGTGATTTCAACTATAGCCTCAGTTTAACTGATTCCATGCCGATTTGTGCTCACCAGATGACTGCTGATGGCTGATGGGTGGTTGCTGATGGCACTGGTAGGTAAAAAACTAGCTGAGAGACAGACGACACGAAAGACGAGCACGGTGTGATGGTGAGCGCGTTAGCCAACAAAGTGAGTAATAGCGTGTTCGGTCCCCATCGCAGACACCTGCGGTCCAGAGTTTTGCAAATATCTTTGCATCAATATGGTTGAATTATAATAGTTCCCAAAATCGAATTTCTATTAACTTCGGAATTAAATAAATATGTGGTTTTCTTTTTCATCAATCGCGAGGTTCTTACACAGCACACAGTTTCACACAAAGACACTCATGAGATTCATCAACCATGGAAGACCCTGAGCGGCTGTTCTTCCTCAATGGAAGGCACATAAGGAACGGCCCTGAAGAGGGCGATACCGACGAGACGTCAGCTGCTGTTGTGTTGTTTTGTGTGAAAGTAAAAATATTCTGTATAACAACCTCGTGATTGCTGATTTATTATAAATTATAGTTTTAAACAGATTTTACAGAAAAGAATTAGAGGTATCGAAACAGAAATTTCGACAAATTTGGTTTTACGGACTCAAAGGAGAACGAACGTAGAGCGGATGCCTCAAAACAGTGAGATATTGGACTAAGCAAGTGATAGGCGACTCATAGTGCGACTTTGGTTCCATAAATTTTGTCGTGAAAAATTTGGTATTGAAGATGAGGAAGATCTCCCACGTCTTTGTTCTCTTGACAACGATGAATTAAAGACTTTAGTGGAAGTAGATTCGCGCACTGTTCAAGAACTTCTGAAAAAACTCAATGTAACCATCTTAATTGTTTCACAGTATCACCTGTATCACTTGTAGTCTCGTTGATCGTTGAGTGACTCGAGCAGGCGCCAGTAAATCTACCATTTTTCCCTGTCAAGTGCAAGAGTAGCACAGTGGGCTCTGCTCGCTCTAGGGACTCGTCGACCAACATATCTTTTCTCTACGGTTTTCGTGAAGAACTCTGACCATCGAGCCGGTGGTCTTCCTGCAGTGTGTTTGGCATTCCGAGGAATCCAGTCACTAACGGCACCTGTCCATCGGTTGTGGTTCATACGCATAACGTGTCCGACCCACCTTATCTTCGACTAGTCCTTTCGACTGCACGTTCGATAACGCTGAGTGATCTTTCATCCTGCTTACGCAGCGACCAAGTTTC